CACTTAAATATTTACAATGTGACAGCAAACAAACCATTTTTTTTTAGGCCTTATAAAGGTAATGATGTGCTCTATTAATTTACATTAAAAACTCATTTTGATAGAGTACGAGTTTACAGCTCTTTGTGGTCTTGGGTCACATTTTGGGATATACATTTGTTTTAAAATGGGCAGGCCCAGATAGTTTAACCAGGGAACAGTGAAATTACATGGAAACCTCTCGAATCGAACATCAAAGGTTATAACCCGCGGTACCGCCGTTCTTATCATAATCAACTGATAAACAATTTGCAACTAATTAAATTGCTTTGCGCATGCTCGCTATCGTGTTCTCGTTATGATCTACGTCGTGTCATACCATGATTTCCAGGGAACAGTTAAATTACACCACCTAAGTTATACAGAAAAAATTAAATGTGGACTAGGCCTACATGGCGACGATTGTTTAATATTTTGCAAAATGCTCGATGGCGAACGGTCTATATTCTATTTTAAAATACTAATCAAACAGCAAATCTACAGTTTGACATTGATTCGGGCCTAGATACTGTACAAAGACAAGACGGTGAACGTAAACGTGTACGCCTGTCAGTCACGATCAGGTAGCCTAGCCCTATATTGCCTAGTAGGCCCTACAGTTAGGAGGCTCCGGGCTTTACAGGCGACCTAGCATGGACGTTTGTTGCGAATGCTTTTTCCGTTTAGTCTAGAGTTGTGCACCTCGCTGCAGTGGTTACCGTAATACAGTCGGCAGATAAAACTCGCTAAGACTGATAATCATGTATCCAAAATATTATTTAAAAAAATAAAATTATAGTAGGCCCTTTATGCCTGTGTTCAATGTTAAACATACTTGTGACAGTACAGTATGTGGGATGGTGTTTTTATGCAAGGAGGTGGTAGTTCATGTTGATGTAGTATTGTACTCCTCTCCTCTACGCTATTGTATTGTTATTTTATTGAATTTATTATGTAACAATTAGCAGGTGAAAACATGCTTGCGGTACACCATGTATGTACCTCTAGTTCTAAAAGAAAAATTGGGTACAACCCTCTATGTTAAATAAAAAATATACTATGGCCCTTCGTCCTATTTTTATGCCCATCCTTGCAATACACCTTTTAGAACACCAAACATGAATGAAAATGCAAGGAAAAGAGTTACAATTTAATACTAACAATATAAAATGAAAGTTATTCTACAATGTTCATTGGATGTTGCCTGTTTGTTTTTTTTAATAAAATTACCTGTACATCTTATCTAATTACCGTTACATTGTATCTAATTGCAATAACAATCCAATTACAAATTATATTTTCTAAACCAGCTATATTTATTTATAATTTTGTCTTTTGTATTAATAGCACTTTCAGTACTGGTTTCACTGCTGGATTAAATAAACAAAAAAATGAAAGAAAAGTTAATTTGGATCAAGCAGGAAAACATAACTTTGCAGTGGAAATGATAAAACATATGACGGCCTGTGTTTCGATTAAGTTTTTAAAGGTTGAAAATCATTACAAATTATTATAAATTACATCTAATCTTATTTTGATTGAAAAGGTGACGAGAAAGCAGCGCAATGGAATAAAGTTTTATTTTATTGTTGTATGTATATCATTTTGTGATGACGTCATCAATCCGATTAAATGTTTTATTGAAAAGTAACTATTTACCCAAGTTCTTGTTACATTTGATATACATAGCATATGTAAAAGTGACTAAAAACATACAATTATTTCCCCTACCCTCATCTTAATTAGTCCAAAATAGGAAAAAATTTCAAAGTGCTATAAAAAAAATTGCCCAAGCTCTAAGAATGGGGAGTTTTTTTCTGAGACACTATATGATATACTGATTAAGAAAAACCAAAAATAAATTTTCCTTTACTTTTTCCCGCTAATTATCTACTGCACACAGGCTAGTGTTTAACGAGGTCGCGATTCTCAGGTGAATATAATCCGTAATAACGAATAAGTAATTCGTATTTACGGATTACTAATCCGTAATAACGAATTAGTTAATTCGTAAATACGGATTAATAATTTATAATTACGAATTAGTAATCCGTAATAACGAATTAACTAATTCGTTATTACGGATTAGTAATCCGTAATTACGAATTAGTTATTACGGATTACTGAACATATACTTTATTGGCACTAATGGGCTTTCGTACTAGACCCTCTGGTACTACAGAGCTAGCTGAGCATACAGCTTGCTGGCCATCATACGTCCATCATAAAATATTTCTTTCGTGAATAAAATGTTTTGTTTAGATTTTAAGTTTAGGGGCCTACTGTACTGTAGGTTCTAATTATGAATCATACTCCAAAATAGACACACTGTACTGTACTTACTACCATGATGGAGGTTATAACTAATAAAATATAATGTGTATGTAATAGGCCTATATAAAGGATATCACTGTAACACCGTAATGTACTGTCTGCACAATATTTAATTTGAAGCTGTTTTGAAAACTAAACAAAAAAAAAAGAAAAAGGAACTGATAATTTACTTTTGATAAAATAAAAAACTGCTAGTCTATTATCTTAGCTACAGTACATTATGTATATCATACTCTTATTTTAATATCTTTGATTTTGAAGGGAAATAAAAGGTTTTGAATTTGAGTAGGAATGTTTTATGTACTGTACATTTACTAATTCATTCTTTTCCTAAAGACACAGACAGCAAAATCACCTTAATTAAGACAATTTAAACAAAAATAGCATTGTGCATATTTTAATAGACAGAAGACAATTTTCCCCTGCCCCTGAATTTTTTTTATTTTTTTTTGACCAGTATAGTACGTTTTTTCAATCACTTTGTTTTCGAAATGCCAAGGACAATGAAATGCATTTTTGAAATGCCAGTGATTATGAAATGCATATTTCGCCAAGCTCTGTTTTAAAGAATTTTTTTGTATCTTTCAGCAATAATTGTGAAATGCCAACAAGCCATTGTGACTCAATATTTCGAACTTGATTTGTTCAATTGCAGAATTCATACGATCTTAAATTTTAGTAAGATTCTTCATTTACCTTGTCATCGGTAGAAAATGCATGGTTAATGAGAGATGCTGGTTGAATACACAAAGAATGTTGGTTTATATGCACGCTTGACGCAAACGATTCTTGAATATGGTTCTATATTATAAACTCTAGTGATGCTTTAATATAATAGGCTTATAATTATCGACAAAACTGCTGATATATACAGGACTGTAAGTGTAACAGTAAAAACTTAAGCCAAATGATATGTGAAGGGGTATGCAAGTCCCTACCCCATGAAGTACAGCTGATGTTTTTTAATTAAAGAAATTATGGTTTGTATATCTTAAACTCAGTGTATTTTGTAAGTCTACAAGAGTCAATTAAAGACATTGTTATTTACAAAAAGGAGTTGGGACCAATTGAAGACCAGATAGAACTGGGATCACTTGAAGAACAAATGCAACTGGTACTATCAGCTGAAGACAAGTTGGAACTGGGCCGGACCAGCTTAAGACCATTCGGAACTTGGACCAGTTGTGAATAACATAATACAGTACCCGGCAAATTTTAGTGGCCCACTTACATTCCAATTCCTATTCAGCCCTGAAAAAAATCAATCAACGGGCCCAGCATGAGCCCGTTAATTATTTTGGACAAAACCCACATGGGTCGCAAATAAAATCACAATGTAAACCTAAGGGGCCCAAAAATATATCCTTTAACGGGCCCATGAACTTTATGGGACCCTTATGGATTTTGGGTGCACAGGCAGCTCTTTCTCGTATGGGCCAATTTATAGTGGCCCCGTACATTTCAATCCTCAAAAAACCCAGATATAGCCCATAATGACCCCATGAATTAATTTGGTAAAACCCATGTGGGTCACAAATGAAACCCTAATACAAACCTAAGGGGCCAGAATATATTCGTTAAAGGGCCCATAAATTCATTTGGGATTTAAATTAAATTTTAAGGGACCCTTAAGGATTTGGGGTGCACAGGCAGCTCATTCCCGTATAGGCCAAACTGTAGGGACCCACATTTTGGCCCATGCATTTCCCATATGGGGCCCATGTATGCTTGCTACCTGGCATTGTTGTGTATCGTTACTCTCCAAATGGGCTGTCGGAGATTCAGCCAATCAAAGTTCGTCTAACTAGACATCGGCTTAAACCACGCACTCAATTAAATATACAAGTTGTAACCACAGTTTCCACGACCGAACACCGTGTGACGAACACGAATTCGGATTGCGTAGTACACTACACTGTACAGTACTTTATCTTTAAATCAGTTGCTCTGCTCGACCTCTTTCTACCTAGGCTAGGTTATTTTTTTTTTAATTATTAATATTCATTGATGTCCAATAATTAGGCCTACAAAAATAAATGGTTTGTTTGCCCTTTAATGCTGAATATTGTATAGGAGGGGCGGGTGCAAAAAATTTCTTTTTTTTTCTTTTCTCTCCTGTCACCAAAATTAACATATTAAATCGCAGTGCTTGTAATTAAGCCTGCCTCACATTTTTTTTTCAAAGGGTATTCATCAGACTAAACAAATAACCCATAATCGATATTTTGCAGTGAATTTAGGTCTATAATGGCGATACCTCACATAAGACACCAAATTTAGATACCTTTCATGCGCAAAATGGAGAAAAATAAATACCAAATTTTTAAAAATTTGTGAACAAAAAAATCGGGAAAAATTAAAAACGCCGCCCCTAATTTTTCCGTAAGCAAACCTTTGTTTTTAGGCCTTATAATCTAGTCCATCAGCTGCTTATCTTATAGTGGTCACTGGATAGCACGCATTGATTCATCATATAGTTAGTACTCTCCAAGACGAAGGACACAAATTATTTCACATCTATAATTGCATCGTATGTCTAAAGCAAATTTGTCTGTAACACAAAATGAATCAACTACCTATATTTTGTTTAAAAATTGAATAGCGCCGCCTATGCATACCAATACATTTCCTTAAATCGAAGACATAAATACAGCTGAAGCTGGTCTTTCTATCATAGACCTACAATTGTCAGTTTTGAAGAGACACATACCTACAGCTAACACGACAGCAAACGTAAGTAATCACTACAGTAACTACATAAATAGCAGTTGTAAGATATCACAACTAGAGTACCTACTTATTAAGGTTCCGTGGAAAGGTATAGATGTTAGCATGACCCATACCATGCCAAATGTTCTCATATGTTGGCATAGTAATAATAATAATAATAATAATAATAATAATAATAATAGCGTAGTTTTATATAGCGCCATATCCAAGTAACATAAGATGCGCAAGGCGCTTGATGTGTGGACTTGGAATTGAATTTAATTGATTTATTTTCATCCCTTAAAATTACAGCAAAAACACAGGTCATTAAAAATACATAAAATACAAGAAAATACATACAAAAATAAAACAAAAGGGACGAAATTCAAGAGATGCCGGATAGCCCATAAAAGTTCCAATTGGAACTTATTTCCAATGGGGTCCGCATGGAATTTGATCTCAAAGTGATCAACCTGTTTAAGTCTACAATTTGTACCTAATAAAATGCATTCGGTTTTGTTAGGATGAAGAGAAAGTCGGTTATCAATTAACCAGTTGTTACATTTAATCAAGTTTTGATTAAACTTATCCGCAATAGTTACGGGGTTGGTATGACAATACAAAATTGCACAATCGTCAGCATAAAGGAGCACCTTACAATCTTCATCAATTGATGATGGTATATCGTTTACATAAATAGAAAACAACAAGGGTCCAAGAAGACTACCCTGTGGGACTCTGCATTTAATCTCTTTATATTCCGATTTAACTCCATTAATATCGATTACTTGTTTACGAGAGAGTAAATAATTTCTAAACCATTTGACAGACTTAAATCCTAAATAAGATAATTTAGAGCACAAACTATTATAATTCACAGAATCAAAGGCCTTTTGTACATCTAACAACATCATACCAGTGAGTTTACCGTTGGACATCTGAATTCTAACATGTTCCATTAGGTGAATAAGGCAGGTGTCTGTTGAGAGAGTTTTACGAAAACCAGATTGAAACTGGTATATAAGATCATTTTCATTTAAATAGCTGACAACCTGCTCATACACTACACGTTCCAGAAACTCGATCAATGACTCACCCATAAGGGTCCCTAAGTAATGGTTAAATGATTCTCTTTGCGCTCTATTGTAGAGACCTATCAACACATATCGAGGGTAAATATTGTGTACTGGACCGTTATAAGATTTGGAAAAAAATATAATAATAATACATTCAGCAAAACTAGGCCAACACCTATAGTTATTATTATTTTGTTATTAGGTCTATGTAACTTATCAATAAAATTGTCTTTATGACTTGAATTTTACAGGCCAACTTGAATATCAATGTTATTTTTCGTTCGAGCTATAAAAATAAAAACCATATAAGCATAAATTATTATTAGGCTATTCAAATATGGTACTACCATTAGTAGACATAGCAGACATATGATTATCTCCCGCTGTGAGCGCGTGCCTACTGCCAAAAGGAAGTTGTTTTTGCGATTTTCACAACACATATCGAGGGTAAATAGTGTGTACTGGACCGTTATAAGATTTGGAAAAAAATATAATAATAATACTTTCAGCAAAACTAGGCCAACACCTATAGTTATTATTGTTTTGTTATTAGGTCTATGTAACTTATCAATAAAATTGTCTTTATGACTTCAATTTTACAGGCCAACTTGAATATCAATGTTATTTTTCGTTCGAGCTATAAAAATAAAAACTATATAAGGATGAATTATTATTAGGCTATTTAAATATGGTACTACCATTAGTAGACATAGCAGACGTATGATTGTCTCCCACTGTGAGCGCGTGCCTACTGCCAAAAGGAAGTTGTTTTGCGATTTTCACAACTGCAGGTCTAGGGCTATTGTGGTTCTGTGAGAAGGTAGCATGACCTATTATACCTGGATCCTTGATTTTATTGTAGAAACCCATCAACGTTTTTATTTGGAGTTTAGAACAGAAGTTGAGGTTTAGACTCTCATGATCGGAAGCTCGAATCTTTCGCTGTGCAAGTTGCTTGTGTCCTTGGAGTATAAATTGGTACCGGCACATGCTCAGAAGGCAAACAGACTCGCTGTGAGGGGAGTGGCGATCCCCTCAAAGCATTACAAATTTGGTCTCAACGCTGATAAGAAAGAGAGATGGATACTCCAAACCTGTACAGGTTCAACTACCTTTACGGTTACCTTACCTATCAACACTAAAGTAGTGTTGATGCACCCTAAGATAGATTTTTTGGAAAATAACCTGTTGTAATACTACATACAATATTTGCTATTATATATAGTATTATTATGGAAACTTATCAATAATGTGCTTGAATTTTCTTTTTTATTTGCATTTACAAACTAACTTTATTATATTTGTTAAACTGTATTATTATTATTATTATTATTATTATTATTATTATTATTATTATTATTATTATTATTATTATTATTATTTTGAACATGACAATTGGACAGAGCCTAACAATTCAAAATAATTCAATTATTTTGAAATGTTAGGCTCTGTCCAATTGTCATGTTTAAATAATAATATTTAAAGGGGAAGGGGGAGCAAATTTTGCTACCCTTTGTGTCTACTACCGAGTGCAAAGGTTTTTGCGATTTTCAGAGATAAACATGAAGCGTTACCACGAGATGGCTTGTTGCTGAGAAGCAGCCAATTCATATTCTTTCCTTCGGCACAGTATTTTGAGGCCTATAGTATTTACGAACCCAGTTAAACTTATTTATGTCAACGTGCTAATTATTACATTTTAAAACAATAATTAAAAATGTATTATACTCTAAACTGTGACCAAGTTGACTTGGTGCCGCGAAACTGTGACCAAGTTGACTTGGTGCCGAGTTGACTCGAATTCGATCATGCTTATGTTGTGTGGTGCGTTGGCAGTCAACTCGCCTCTACAAACTCGCCCCTAGAAAATTTGCCGCCTTGAAAACTCCCCATACTAAATCATCTCACCAAATAAAAAATCCTACTCTACGCCTAGACTAGCTAGGATGGTATAGGCCTAGCCTTGAAGGGACGAAGGTCCCAATGAAAAACAACGTCGCTCCTTGATAGCTAACATTGTCGATTTAACATCACAATAATTCATTATTAGACCTATAGTTGTTTTTTGAATTGTACTCCACAAATCTCAGCCGATACTTCGCACAACTCGTTAACGTCTCGTATCTATTGTCGTGACATCATGGGTCGCTGGCTCACACATTGTGATGTCTCGCACTTGTGATCAAATAACACGCTGGCTCGAACTTTGGCAACACTCTTTGGCAGTCAACTCGCCCCTTA